TAAGGCACTAGTAATAGATGTGCGTTCTTATTCTGTGTTGTTAGGATCACCTTGGGCGATGGCGGTGGGCACACGTTTGCATTTTGATTCCAAGCAACTGGTGCTCACGCAAACTAGGGGAAAGCCTCAAAGTGTTCCCTTGCGAATTTCCACCCGAACAATAAAACGAACTCCTAACTCAGCCCAAATAGGGAATCTATGTATCGATGCCAAGGGGTATTCTTCCTCGGACATCGGCAACGGAATCGGGGAACAGGAATACGAAGAAGAACTGCCTAGTGAGGATGAATGGAAGCACCTGGTTGAACTTTTCAAACACGAAATCCCCGAAGAATTTCAAGTGTGCCCCGACACCGCCCGAAGCTTCCACGTGGGTTCAGGAGACGGCGCGCTTGCGCCTCCGAAAATCCAGGTCAGTCCTTCAGTCCTCCTCAGGGAACCTAAATTACAAGTGTCTGAACTAGCTGATGATTTGGAACCCCCTCATACCTTGTACGAGGGAGCACTTTCGTTACGAACACGTTATCAACAAACGGAACAGTATCTAGACGTTTTTGTTTTCCCGCCCCGATCGTTACTAACAACGGGGGCGACCATCGCTTTGATTAAATAGAAGGCAGACGCGCCGGTAGATGACGTGCCTAATCTAATGCAAGAGATGACGGACCTAACAGGATTGACTGTGGAGCAGATTTCGGCCGACTCAGAAACTGACGCCGAAACTAAAGAAACCGAAATGATCAGCCCCGCCGAATCACAGATGATTGCGACTGTCTTTTCTGTTCGCACCAGCAGTTCTGTCTTTTCCAGTGTTTACGATCGCAAGGAGCGGCCGGTTGATCGGATCGACATCCCTTAAGACTCCTGGGGAATCAACGATCACTCTACCAGACTCTAGGGAATGTCGTCACACCAAGTCTTCGGCACAGGCTCAAACAGTCTCTCATCAAAATGTCTGAATCCCGATGTCAAGTCTAGATCCAATGTCGTCAAGTCTCGAGTCACAATTTTTTTTCTCTCTGTCGTAATCTGCTGATACTGAGGAGTCAGGCGGCGAGAGGGCGAGGAGAAGAAGGTGGACTGAGAGAAGGAAGAAGAAGAACTCTCTCTCTCTCTCTCATACACACACATATCAATCGTACACACACACACACACGTACTCACTTACACACGTGCCTATTGTATGTACACACATCTTAAAGCGAAACGAATCTGTCCATATTTAGTGGTAGGTTCATTGGGTTTTATTTTATTTATTTATTCATTTATTTATTCTATTTTATCATTTTTTACTTATTATATTTTTATTATTATATTTGATGGGGTATCGGGATTGGTTGCGAGGAACGGGACTTACCCGTTTTTTTCTCCTGCTTCTCGTCGTCGTCACCGTCGTCGTTAGAGTCGCCGTCGTTGTCAGCCCCTTCGCTGCTATACCTTGGTCAGGTAAGTATTCCCTCTCCACTTCTCCCTCTTCTTCTCTCTCCTCTTTCTTCCCCCCCTGCTCCCTTTCTTTCGTCTGTTGTCACGGTCAGTGTCGTCGTCGTCGCTGTAGGTGGATCTCACTTTCCGGCGGCAAACCGTCAAGACCACAGCGTTCCAGACACTTCACCGGCCCATTCAATCGGTAGGTGCGACGGCGTGTGTACCAAGGGCAGGGACGTAATCAGTGCAAGCAGATGATGCGCTTACTAGGCATCCCTCGTTCAAGACCGATAATTACAACAGTCTATCCGTTGCGACAGGCCTGTTTCCCGTCCTTTCTTCTTAGTCTCCCTCCTCCTCCTCCTTCCTTTTCTTCTTCTTCTTCTTCTCGCGTGTTCTCCTCYTTCTRCRCCCYGCCTTCCGCGCGCTACCCCTTCTCACGATCTGTCCTTCTCGAGGATGCGGAATAGTATCGAGCGGACGAGCTAGAAGCCYCGTACCCACTGCGGAGTCCTACYAGGCGTAGTCGGTTGGCTCCTTACTAGGTKAATCCGTCCCAATATCGGGGCGTGATTCATTTGGGCACCTCGGGGTAGGTAGGCCATCAAGAAAAACAACAAAAAAAGTAAAAGAAATCAAAACTAAAAYAACGAATCTAACGTGATTCAACCTCACGGWTCATCCCTMCCTTGCCAAGTGTCGGAGCCCCACGACACTCGGTTCTARCTAACAACTAACTATACTAACTCCTACTTGTAAGGTCGCGGGTTCGAATCCCGACGGTTCAATCTTAGGCAAAACGAAAAATARAGCTCCCYGTCAAAAGGGAGCTARCTCGGAGGGCGGCGGGCCTTGATCCCCAGATCCTCYGCATATCAATCCCRTACTGCAACCTACTGAGCTAGCTCCCACTTCRGTTAGAAGGGRAGTARCTCTAGTATATATAAAGTAACGCAGCTCAATCCAACCAATGGCCTCATCCCACTCTAGCCTACGTGATCATGCATGTTTGCCTATCTGYGTGCCTATYTAAATGTCTGCCGCCTTGGGTGCTTGCGTGACSCGCAAGGGCACGTATTTCAAYGGAAGGCCCGAAGGGCCGGTACTCAGCCRTGGTTGCGGCATCGASGGTCGSGRCAGRGTAGATTCTCAAGTGGCGGGCAGGTTKGCACCACACCACATCGAGGTAGACGTGGSGGGTACTYGGCTCGGAGGCTGAGTAGGGGAAGGTAAAAGACCGAAATTTTCAGAACCCCCAGTACCGGAAGGAAGACAGGCACTGGACCAAGTCTCAGTGCGTGTCATAGTCCTACCTGACACAATCATCAGTCCAACTGACCCTTCAACCTTTTCCGTCGAGGGGCATTACTACTGATCCTAATCACCACAGCGCGCGTTATAGTAACGCGCGTACACACTTAACGAAATTTTCTCACCGATTTTTGCCCCGGTCTTAGTGACCGAGGATTTTTGTCTTTCAGCGTCACGCCAAGCGTGCACACCCCATTTCGTTCCAGACTGGCTACGTCATGGTAGCTGATGCCGCCACCGTGTCTAATGCAAATACATGGCAAAATACCCTTATAAGGGTATTTTGTCCGACAGTATCCCAAACCTCATTAAGAGACGTCCCCGTCGCTCGGAGAACTATATGCACACAAAAGTGTTTTCCGACAAACAATTCATCAAATCCGAATCCTGAAATGAAATATGGCTTCAGGATTGACGCCGTCACCTTACTTTTCATTATTTCAGCCGGGATTTTAGCCCGGGTCTCCCACATAAAACATAATGACTGAAAGCGGGGATACTAGATCTGTGCTACAGTACATGAAATAGTTAAGTATGACAACGCACCTTTCCTTCCCCCACACCCTTAGTCTTTGGTCCAGGTATTCGTTGGTTGTTTTCAGGGACAGTGTTCGCGTACGAACTCAATCCGTCAAACATGGGTCCTAACCGAGACCTTGGATGTTCAACTCTTGATATCACAATCGAAAGTTGTCTGTCGTCCTGCCCGAAGCCTAATACAGGAGGACAACGGTCTCCATCCAAACCCACCACAGTCCTGCTGATCAGACCGGAGCTGCGGTCCACCGCGTTGTTGCTTATCGGTGGTTACCCTCGTTGGTTGCATAACGAGGGGATATTCATCCTCTCTTTAAAAAAAATTTAAATCTCGACCCCTTCGACATCCACCTGAATAGATCCTTTCATTGGGGTGGTCACCCCTCTAGTTTCTCTTCTAGGCCATAGTCGAAGGGTCCGCTGCCTGGTTATGCTAGGTCAGCAGCCCACGCTGGGAGTTACGTCCCAACGATGTCAATTTTTCACCATATGCTTGGTAATTTATGCCCTCAGGTTAACCCTTGAGGTGGATGAACGATGTTTTTTAAATAAACCAAATAAATGAGATTTTCAATAATTGAGCATTCGTCAGGCTGCCACTTAGGGTTGTGTCCTCCAAGTCTTTGATCATAGCTCGTTGAGGCACGCACCTCGGGGTCATTTTATAACCATTATATATATATATATATATAACTATTATTTTTAAAATAAACTTTTATTGACTCTTTGCTTGTCAGAATCCACAAAAAAAATAAAACATCACTTTCATAGAGATTGCCAAATAAACAGAATTGATAAGACTCAAAGGAGTCTACCATCTCATAGCATGGTCTTAAACAATAAATGTACAATCAATCCAGTTTTTGAAGCTTCATAAACTCATCAAACTTTGACCTGAATACGGATCCGCCCATTCCTCTATCACCTCCTTAGATCTCAACAGAGTCTAGTGGTGATAGACGAAAGGAGATCTTAGGTTACCAGAGACTCAACCAAAGACAAAGGCCCATACACAATGTGACAAGTGCGTCGTGTCCACCAGCTCATCCTCCTGAGTGTTATACATAAATACAAGTATGTTACAGAGTCAGATCACCACTCCACTCTACTATCCCTCAAATACCTCTCATGTCATTTCCTATACTACTTTCTATGCTAAGTTCCCTCATTTGACTGTAGAAAGCACACAACTTGTCTCACCCGTGTTTCTCATGTCCAATTGAAGAAGAAAACCACATATCCCCTTGCTCTAATTTACACCTTTCTCTCTCTCATAACTGTCCTTTAAGCCAATTCAAGTCATAATTTTCTCAAAACATCTACTTATTCCTACCTAGAAATCAACTGGCAGTCCCAGTATCATGTGAAGTGTTACCCTGCCTCCCTTAGGTATCCTGGGAATGGTCTGCCCTGTGCCGACCACCAATCTCTTATGACTATCATATTTGGTTTTTCCTTCCTTTATATAAATTGCTAGAATGGAATACTCATCCCTGAGGTACCCTTCCTGAGTGTAGAAGAAACACCTCTGTCCAACCATGCTAGGCTTGATTTTCTTTATGTTTGGCTGGATTGAAGTCTTAGCCTGATCTTCAGCCACCTTTGGTGAGTCCAACTGGGATTCCCTTTGCCTTTTACCCTGTCCTGGCATGGTTCCTCTTCTTCATTCTCTTCCTCTTTCCTCTGCGGCTCAGTCACTTCTCTTCCAATCTATAGCCCCTTCTTTTGCATCCTTTCCTTCTTTATCTGATCTTGCCTGGCCTGGGCGTAGGCCATTCACAATTCTGTCGTTATCCTTTTCCAGGTCTGACTCCCTTCCACAATTCCTCTTACTTCCTCCTTTTCGCCTTTGTCTGATCTCGCGATCAACTGCTTTCGCTTTTCCTCCTCGTTCCATTCGCCCCTCTCAGCGGCCAGTTGCAAGCTCTCAACAAAGTCCTCCAGATTGGTCCCATCGAACCTCAAGTCATCCTCCACATCATCCCTTGGGAATTCCCCTATGTCTCTCCATAGTCTCACCTTGCATACCCTCCACCTTGTGCAACCTGCCACCACTCCTTCAATCCTCCTTTTGTACATTCCTGCTCCTCTCACATTCGCAATCCTTTCCCTGTCACCCCATTCTCTCCTAAATGTGTACTCCTCAAGGTCTCGCAGGAAAACTCGCAGGCTGTCTCCAGCCCTGTAAATGGGCAGCTCCTCCAGGTTCCTTGAGATTCTTTGTTCCCTCCTCTGCCCTCCCTTTCTCAAGGCAGGTCCAGAGGGCCCTGCCACTGCTCCTCTCTGCGCCATGGCCTCTTCTTTCCAAGGGTCACGCCTGCACACAGAGAAGGAGCAAATGACAGGTACGAGGGTCAGATTATCACCAAGGCAACATTCCTTGTTAACACAAGTTGACAATGCCCTCCTTTATCAGATACTTACATACACGCACATATCCCCACTTACTCCTCTGCATCCATGTACGTACACATACATACATATGTATATATATATATATGTATGTATGTAGTCATATATGTATGAGTATAATCTTGGGCAATTGGGTACATACCCTCATAGGAACTAATACACATATGCATGCCTAAATACCTTCCCAATCTATCCAAGCTTCCGTATCGTAGCTGAGCTTACCTCTTCTCTGACTCGGAACTTCTTCAGTCTAGATCATGAGACTCAGTCCTTCCTTGGAGTCTCATCCATCTCTTCCAGCTCATATGCCCCATGAAGTCCCTGTCTCCTGACTTTGAATGGTCCTAGCCATCGTTTGTCCAATTTCCTCGACCACTCCATTTCCGGAGAGGAATCGTAGAGTAGTACTGTCTCACCAACTTGTAGAGGTTCGAGTCTTACCCTATGTAGCTTGTCCCACCTTTCCTTATCCTTTTCTCTGTTGTCTGCAACGTTCATGGCTGGTTCCTGCAGCCTTTCTTCAGTGGCGCTGATGTGCCTTGCCCTTAGATCTAGCAGCTCCTCCAAAGTTAAGTTATTCTCCAGGTCCTGCCTGCGCCAAGTCTTCAGGAAGCTTTCAATAGGAAATGTGGTGTGACGCCCATACCAGATTGTCGCAAGTGCATACCCGGTCGTCCTTTTTACAGTGATGTTCTCTACAAAGAACATTGTTCTTAGGAACTTTGGCCAAAGATTCGGCTTCTCACTGGTCCATTTGGCCAGTAAGTTAGTAATTGTGCTATGGCCTCTCTGAACCGGTGCATTCGCCTGTGGATGAGCCAAAGTCGTATAATTACCATTGACCCCCAATTCCTTTAACAATTCTTTCACTTCCCCACATGTGAACTCAGACCCCCTGTCCATTGTAAATTCCAATACGAAAGGATATCTGAGATAATATTCCTTAATACAATCCGTCAGTGTTGTCCCGGTCTTGTTCCTGATTGCTCTGCCATCAACGAACCCTGTAAGGTTGTCCCCGGCGTCAAATATATAGTTATATCCTCCAAGACCTACTGGCATAGCCAGTAGATCCAGGTGAACAACCGCCCCTACTTCCTTGATATATCTAGGATGCAGGGGTTCCTTGTACCTGATAGGCGATCGAATTTGACAGGGCACGCATGATTCACAGTATTTTCGCGTCATCTCAAACATTCATTCCCTGAAGTAGAGCTCCATCGCCTTCTTATAAGTAGCTGCGAAACTCCGATGTCCTCCGACTATCCCATCATGCAACGCAGCTACTACGTTAATCTGGCGATTCCTTCCACACACGACACGTCGTGGCGGTCCCCTCTTATCCCTGGTGAACAAGTGGCCACCTCTCACCACATAGTGGTCTCTCATCCTGAGAGTCTTCTCACTCACTTCTCTCTCTCTTTTATCTCCTGAGAGGAGCAACCCCATTTCTAAATGGAATCCTTCATACTCCTCTTCCCTGAATTCCTCTGAAATTTCTTCTTGTTCGAACTCTCCTTCCTTCTCTTCATCAAACTCGTAATCATCTCCAATAAATATCTCATAGTCCTTCACAATTCCTCTTTCATCATTCGCTTGGACTTGTAATAGCGAATTTTTCAGATAGTACATTCTTCCCATCATGGCTACCTGTTTGTCAGTTTGTTGGACTCCTGCTTCGATCATAGTACATTATTCCCATCATGGCTACCTGTTCGTCAGTCTGTTGGACTCTTACTTCGATCGTTCGCGGCTCATCCATTATCCTATAATTCTCTGTCAGGGCCAACTCCATCATCCATTCCGTATTTCTCTCGCCCCAAGAGTCCTCCTCCTCTAATGGCGTGAGTATCAGGGAAGGTTATCTCATAAATTCTGGGGGTGAATGCCACATCGGATTTCCTCTCCTCATTTTCTTACTCTCGACAAACATGAACCAACAGTTCACGTGAGTTCGCATGTCCTCCCCTTCGTCCAAAAACCCGTCTACCGGAGGTGTTTCTTTATTAGATTCCCCTTTATTTCCCCACTTAATTTTGCTCATCCCGTCCGCCCTGTTCTTGTTCTCAGGGATCCGCTCTAACTGGAAGTCGAACATCCAGATATAGGTGAGCCATCTGGCTATGGTCGGATCTGAGGGCGAGAAGTTTTTGAGTGAGTACACAAGCGCCGTAGGATCAATCCTGAGCACAAACCTCCTCCCAAAGAGGTAGTGCCTAAAGATCCTTAGGCAGTGCAGGACCGACAAAGCTTCCTTTTTAAATTGCGAGTAGTTCCTTTCTGCCGAGTTCAGTGTCCTTCTTTCAAACCTCAGCGGCCTCTCCTTTCCTTCACTGTCTGCCTGAATCAAGACGCCTCCCAGGGCGGTTGGTTCAACGTCAGTTTCAACTATGAAGGGTCTTTCCATAGTCGCATAAAAGTCTGGTACCCCTAATACCAGACCTCCTTCTTTTAACTCCTCCTTCAATTCTTCCACCACTTTCTCTTGATGGTTTTCCCATTCTCATTCCTGATCCTTCCAGACTAGCTTCCTTAGATGCTCTGTTTTGCTAGCAAATCTTTCTATGAATCTCCTCCAGAACCCACAAGTACCAAGAAAACTTCGGACTTCACCCACATTTCTGAAAGGAGTAGGCCATTCCAGGATTTTATTGGTCTTCGTCTTATCAGGGCGCCGACCATGCTCGTTGCAAATCTATCCTAGAATGGTTACCTCTTTCACGCAGTGTCTTGACTTCACACCACTGGCGGTGAGGTTGTACTCTTCTAGCAGAGATAAGACTTCTTTTAACCCTTGAACATGTTCCCACACAAACTTTCTTATCCCTGGAGCCACTTCTCACTCATCCTTCTCAATCAGGCCCTTGACGGCAAGATCGTCTATGTATGGCTCGGTGATCTAAGGGCTGATTGGCTGCATTACCCTGATCATGCTTCGTTGCACCATGGCCACAGCATTGGTCCATCCTTGCGGCGGAACATTCATATGGACTAATCCCCTTGGTGTGTGCATCGCCGTGATGGAACGGTCTGCCGGATAGACTGGAAATTGATAATATCCAGAGTAGAGGTCGATGAGGGACACAATCGACCTACCTACACAAGCTTCTAATAACTGGTCAGCATTGGGCAGACCCCCTGCATCCCTTACAGTTACCGCGTTCAGTCGTTGGAGGTCTTGCACCCATCTGAGAACTCCATTTGGCTTTACAAAACAGAACCAAGGAGAGGCATATGGTCCACTGGAGTACCTTGGCACATCCGTGCGGATCTTCCCATCTAGGTACTCCACCACCCTTCTGCGATCCTCAGGGTTGGGATACTTAACCCCTCGGACATTCCATGACTCATGAGGTACAGTATAAATACGGATCATTTCTATCTTGTCCACATCCAGCCTTCCACGTTGATCATCGTTGAAGGCATATGCCCCATGTTTTTCACGTATCAGTTCTTTTACCAAGTCCTCATCTTGCCTTGTCAGAAAGCCAGGTTCCCCTATTATCAGTTCTTTCTCAGTCTCATCGTCGATACGACAAGGTCCGTTCTGGATGCCTTCCCTCATTCGCTGTATCAGTTCTCTTTCCTGATCATAATACACCCCTTCTTCTTGACTCACTAGAACTGGCACAGGATGACTCTTCTTATCTACCGTCTTGTACCTCCTTTTGGAGCCCTGCTTGAGCCCACCCCTAAAAATGTTGACCGACAGCTTGAGCATTCGGCACATGCGACACTATCATCTAAGTAGAAGGAGGTGACCGATAAACGAGATCGACCCTTCCTCCTTCCGGATCGTCCTGGATTCTTTCTGCGAGTGCCCTGACTGCGTCCGGATCAGCCATCCTATAAGGCGATACTAGTTTCACTGCGTCACTGATATTTGTTAGACTTAATACAAGTCCTTTGGCTTCTTCATCACCTGACTCCTCCTCTTCTTCTTCCCATTCCAATTCTTTCCTTCTACTCTCAGATTCCTCGAAGGTGTAAGATCCTGCATTGAGTCTGTTTTTCGAGTTGTGCGGGCCTGTGTTCCTACAGGTGATAACCTCGAAGTTCCCACAGGCAGGATCGCACAAGATGACGAACATAGTGCCGTTATGCTTGTTCATAATGAGTGATTCAGATCTGCACAGGAATGATCTTCCCAGCAATATTGGAAGGTCCAAGCTGGGCATGACGTAGAAGCACGGACGTACCTTGACTCTTCCTATTTCTATGACCATATTTAACTGGCTCCGTTGAGGAACCCGCAATCATTCTCATCCACCTCCAACCCTAGTTTTACCACGGTTTCCCCATTTACCCAGGATACATTTTTCCCTTTATCATAACATCAATGGATCATGTGCCTACGAATTTCCAGTCCATTTTACTCCCTGCCACGCTTCAGTTTGCCTCTTTGGGAATCAAATCCCCCATCCGGACCGAGGCTACTCTCCGRCGTGATAACCTAGCCTTCACCATCTCTCTTAACTTAGGAGCTGAAGCGAGGATTTCTTTCAGGTTTAACAGTTCATTGTGTCCCTCCAGCAGTTTATTCACCAGGCCTTCCAGATCCACCCCTTCTTCGATCGGAGTTTTGTACTTTCTCTTCTTGCTTGGTCCCGTATCACCTTTTGATATTTTTTCCTTAGCTTCGCCTTTCCTTCCCTTAGCCCTTACCTCCGCCTGCCTTTCTTCTTCCTCCCTAATCTTCTCATCCTCATCCTCATCACCCTCTACCGTGATAGGTGGTTCTTCTTCTGCTGGCTGGGAAGTCTGGGCTTGTTCCTTTTGAGGATTCTCTCCTGCGGGTCTTCTTGTAGCGAATGAAATTGTTCCTCTCATACTTCTCTGACTTCCACTATTCCTTGCGGCCATATTGGCTCTCAACATTCTCGGGTTGGGTTCATTGGGCCCATCTCCCGTTCCCCCACGCCCCATGGTAAATACCTTTGGGCATCCAGCTTCTTCTTTTCCTGCTTCTTCAGATATCCCTTGAAGCCTCAGATGTAGCCTCTGCATTTTGTCTACCAAGTCTTTCATCCTATCGAACGTGTCTCTGACGTTAGCCCTAACGTCTTCCTCCTCTGTTTCTTCTTCCACCAGTGACACGTCTCCCTTGTTTTCTCCAATCCCCATCCTATTCACTTTCTCTTCCAAGTTAGTTATATCTTCCACCTGCACTACTGGTTCTTCCCTTTCCCGCCAAATTCGGAACATTCCTGGTGCGTTGGGACCAAGTGCGGCCACACGAAGAGCCTCTTCTCTTGTGCCCCCTGGAATCTCAGAATCTATCACCCTATCATTTTAGTCGAACACCTCGCCCTCCATGTTTGATGTTATGAGCCCTTCACGCTCGTCAAGCTTCCTAACATGACATCGTTTAACCGTGTGCCATTTGATCGCGCAGTGGGTACAGACGCATTCACTGTAATCAATCAACCCCTAGCCATATCCTTGTCCGTTTCATTGTCCGTTTCCTCTATCATACCCCCTTCCATAGCTTTGGTCGTATCCACGACCATACCTTTGCTGGTATTCTTGCCCGACTGGATTTGCACCCACTTGGGGCCGCCCCCAGTTCCTACCTTGGTTTCCACCTCCTATGTTACCTGCTCCTCGTTCCCCTGGTCCCTGATTTCTACCACCATTCCTACCTCTTCCACGCCCTTGTCCTTGTCCTTGTCCTTGGGACCTGTTCTGRTTTTGGCCACCTTGRCGACTAGATCYCGYTTGGTTCTGMCCCRTTARTTGGAGTTGTCCCGTGTTTTGTTCTCCTCCCMAATTCTGATTCTGGGGTATCATGGGATATGGACCCTGCGCAGRCCATGACCCTATCGGGAAGTATCCAGGCCATGCTCCCATAGGCRGACCCACGGGCCATTGTCCATATTGTGTTGTGCTGCTTGACGGCTCATGTCCATACTGGACTATCGCTTGTTGAGTTACTTGTCCTTTTCCCGAGCCTTGTCCCCCAATAGCGATATTCTTAGTCTTCCTTTGACACTTGGTCAATTTGCCCGTTTCTTCAGGTCCTCCATCTTCTGCCTCTTCCTCTCCATCTTCCTCTTCCTTCCTTTTCTTTCCTGATGGCTGTGTCACTGTTAACACTTTCGATGGTGTCACTCTTTCCCTAAGCTCTTTTATCTCGTTGGCCATATTGCTCAATACTCCCCCAAGTATACTATCCATTCCTTGGATCGTCCCTACTGTCTTTCTTTTCTTTCGTTCGACCTTTATTTGGTGATGGAACACTTGGTCCATGTCTCCTGCCGCGATGTTCCTCTTTATGGTTTCCCAGGTCGTCTTTTTCCCRGCGGCTCCCYCTCGAGTTAGTTYCATTGCCTCATACCCAGAGAATTTCCCTAKGAATATGACGCACTRCATCTCTTMARACAGTCTYGGGACCCTCTCGGCWGTCTTTTYGAATGTATTGGCGAATGCCCTGATCGTGGTGAAGTCATCTCTGTTCATGTTATAGAGATGGTCAATTGTGAGCAGGCCATCTCCTAGCTTAAACGTCTTTTGCATGCCCTTTTTAAACTCAACCCAATCATTGTTGGACTTTCTCACTACCTCTTCTACGTCAGAGGTGCACTCCCACCATACGTACTCGAATAATTGGGCAAACTTTTCGGCTGGGGTCAATTGGTTGAATATCTGCTCGAGTAGTTCCAACCAATGTGTCACCCTATCCTCTTTGAATGGGAAGATGTCTATCCTTGGTAGGTTAGATCTTTTTATCGTCCTCTTTTCCAACAACTTGGCGATTTCCGCCGCGGTGATTGGCGGATCTCCATTGGCGCTGGCTTCGCCCATCTCTTTCCCTCTTTCCTTCTTGGTTCCTGCTAGACTGTAGACCCTGTTAAGACACACAAAACGACCATTGATCCATCTTCTTCGTCACTATTTTGTCGTGTTCTTCATTCTTGTCACTTAACTTATCCTATGCGACTTCTCATATCCCTTTTCTCTCAACCGAGTATCTCTTCTTGGAGCACCCAGTCCCCGTGCCAAAAGCTTCTAACCATACCAAATAAGGAAGGGATTTCATCTATAAATTCTTCAATACATGCTTCCCGGCAAAGATTGCGCCAGTAGGTCGAGAGATCTTCAAAATGATAAGTGCGTAGGTACGTTTTACTACACATAATACGTTACAAAAATTCCTACTCTTTAGTTTTGGTCCCATCTCCAAGTAGAGGCGGTAAACAACTTTCGATGCCTCGAATTCGACGGCCATCTCTGAAACTGATTGGGCTGCGAGTACTGCTCGTTCTATATTCTCAATCCCCCAAAACGCTTCATCAATTATGAAGCTCAGAAGCGTGGCTTTAATGTACCTTGTTGGATATACGAATTCAACGGCCCACTTTGCTTCGATTGATTTTATAACTACTCTTTTTTCTCCCCAATACATTCTCCTTGAAAATGCGTCAAGGGTCATTCCGGGTGTCAACACGTATCTAGAGACGGGGCGGCTTTCTCCTATCGCAAGATCGATCGAGTATGCCCTCCAGAGAAGGAAAAAGGGTCACTTTCACTATTGTCTGCCTTTCCCTTGTGGTCCACCCAGTTTCTATCCAAAGGAAGGTTTCCTGTCCTATCGGTATCCCGCACCATGACTCAATTTCCTCATCCAAATCTATTGTCCTCTTCAGTAGTGTCATTTTGACTCCTCCTTCCCTTGGCTCTGGCAGGTTGATCAGGAAGCTCCGATCAGCGAACCACATCAAATGAGTCATCCTAGTATACATGTTACAACAGCCAAAGAAAGAACCCTTTTCTTCTTAGTAACGGCTCAATTTCCCCGTCTCTTAACAATTTTCTATCTCAGTCTTCCTTGAGCACCTCTTTCTATTTGATCGAGGATCCCGTATTTCAGTTCCTCCCAGTAGACATGCCTATTTTTCCAATCATGCTGACGTGCATATGAGTCGATCCTTGCTAGTATGTCTTGAGGATCCCTTCCTTCAATCAAATGTCATATCTCTAGGTATATGTAGTATACCAGCAGAGGGGTAGATGCATGATATTCTCTCTCACGTATTACCATTGCGGCTTCCGCAGCCCTTTTCATTCGGGTCCTTCCTCCGAAGGTTGCATCTACGATGAACATAGAAAGGGTCTCTCTTAGATATGCTGCTGGCGGAAGAAAATCGTTAGCCTTTCTTACCCTCACAGCTCCTATCATTCCTTCAAACCCATTCAAGCTTGCATCTCTTCTCCTAGACTCGAGCGCGGATTCTGCTATCCACAATAGTCTGGAAAGAGATCGATCAGTTCCTAAGACTAAATTTATTATCATAGTTTGCAATTTCTCCGAAGAAAAATACACGGTAACCCTTTCTACTGCGCGATTTTCGCCTCTAACCCATCCAGACTCGATCCAAATGAAAGTTTGTTCCTCTACAGAAATCCCCCAACAATACCCCGTCTCCTCGTTCTCCACATGACGACTTGGCAGATTCATCATCAGGCCACGCCTCATTTGCACGGGCTCTCTGATCGTGACTTGAATTCGGGCAGAAACCATCTTCTTTTCTTTGGTATATCCCACCTACTACACAACGCAATCCAGCCCACATCTCTTTTATTTTAGCTAGTAGACTTATAATCCCAAGATCTGACTGATTCCCCTTTCTATCCCATCATCTTCTTTGATCCTTTTGAACCTTTATATAATATTTTTGTACAGTAAGTATGTTACTAACCCACAGATCTCTATTTGACATAGTAGAAACATTAAAAGCGATATGCACATCCTCTTATCAGGAGACGCAGACTGCGCAACTACAGGAGGATCAGGCACGCTTGGTGCCCCGCGGGGC